TTCTTTCTTTCTTTCTTTCTTTCTTTCTTTCTTTTTTTTTTGAAGCATTTGATTCAGATGAAGACAGTCGGTAGTTCTTGGCTTCTTCATCCATCCATCCATTATGGCTGCATCTAAGATGTTTTTAAATATGTTTGTAAAAGAAATGAGTGTGTCAGTGGTTTATACATTTGGAAAGGTGTATATTTTACAGGAATTAAAACCAGATCCTTGCCAAATACTTTCACACAATGCAGAATGGGTCTTATGACTTTCTGTGGGAGAGTAAATGCTTGCTTTGCTCTTTCCTACTGGAATGAATGAGCTTGGAAAAGAATTTTAGCTAATTGATCTCCATTGCTTCATTCATCCCGACCAAGGACAAAACAAACACAGGAAGAGGCTCTTCCATGAGTATTTATTTTAAAGGTGTGTTTAATTAAAATACTACTCTTTGCAGGTATGTGTGAGAGAAGGAGGTGCTTTTCAGTCTCTTACTAAAAATCAGTAATGATTGTTCAGCCTTCAGAGATGAAAGTTCTGCTTGCTAATCAGTTCCCTATTTCTGTCAGTGAAAACAACCAGTCCTCTGTGTATTACTGTGTACAGTTGGATCTGTTCCTACCTTTGGATTGGCTGTGGAAATGATCAAATACGTGCACATTTCTTTCCGAGTCTTTATTCAATATTTACCCAGATATTTGTCAATATTCTTGAAGCTGTAAGTTTGCTGTTCAGCCTTATTTTAATTAATTCTTGTGTTTTATGTTAATGTAAAACAATATAATCCAGATGAATGGAAAGACCAGTGAATAGAGAAAGCCTGTGATTAAAATATTAAAATACAGCAGGGAATTATTGATTCGCTTCTACATAAATGTCTCAGCTGCATATTAATTGTCCAGTAATTGTCTTCTTACTGTCTGGAATGTTTCCTTCAACTCTGCCTTCAGTTTTGTGACAACCATGTTTACTGTGGATATTGTTTTAGATAAATAATATTAAAAAAAAAATCAATTGCCAGGAAAGTAATATCTTGTGCATTAGACCACATCTAAGACTACAGAAAGCCCTTGGCTTGCTTCCAACTCTATCAAATTGGAGGAGTTTCTTTTGGGTTAGGGTTTATTCCTTTCTTTTCAGTGCTGTAAATCTGTCAAGATTTGATGTTGTTTGTTTGCTTGGAACTCAGAGGAACAATATGGAGACTAAAAACAATTGCTCCATGTAGTTAAAGGGCAAAACAAACTCATGAAGCATAGTAAAAATTGTGTTCACAAAAGAGATTCTGGTTTCTCTTGGTGTTACTTGTGTGGTTTTCTGAAGAACTGGGCAATTATTACTTGGACTGAATACATTTGGTTTTCAGAATAATATTCTTCTAGATCCATAGGAATTGTTTAAGAGAAACATTTGAGAAGTTTCTTCTCTTTGCAGAAGAAAAAGGTTAAGCTTTTAAGCGAACACTTAAATATTGGGCTACAGGGACATTGGCCTGCTCCTTAAAATAGCATCCCATCCCAGGTCAGATTCTTCCATATGTATCCTGTAAAATATAGGAGCAGTTCCATGTGATACAATATTCCCTGTAGGGAAGTAAGTTGGTTAAAGTCATTTTACCTGAAGAGAGTACATCATGCAATAAGCCTTATTATGCATTATGGGGTCTTGGAGGATTCATGTAAGCTTAGTATACTGTATTGGGCAATAACTCAATGTCTCATGTAACACATAGCTCCTTATGAAGCCAAGGATCTTTAGTCAAGCTAAGAAGCACATGTTGGCTATTTAAGCAAAACGTTGACCACATTCACACATTTTTTTAAAAAAAAAATCTCCATAATTCTAAATATTGCTGTTGAACATTGTCATTATTCTCAATTTTACTGTCCGCAGAGAGCGAAGAGGTTTACCAGCGACAGGTGCTGTCTATTTCCTGCATCGTCTTTGGAATAGTCATTGTGGGCACAATCTCTGCAGCGTTCTACTTCAGAACAAAGTAAGACTCCTTAACTAATCTCTCTTCTTCCTTCTAGCCTTTCAGGCCATTGGTGTTTCCCGCCCACTGTATCGTTTCTTGATGTTATTATTCTGGGGAAGACATGCCAGAGACTTTTTTTTTAATGCAGATTCTTTCTTTTCTGAGACAATGCCCTGAAGCAAAAATGCGTGTAGTAGAACTACAGTGGCGTGCTTATGTGCTACTCTGAATCAGTTTGGACCAGGTTAGATGGCTTTCCCAAAATATGCATGTGTGTTTTAATGGCACCAAATGGTCAGGATCAAATCAAATGGAGTTTGAATCCATTTGGCTCAAGCACATTTTCCAAATTGATTCGATGTTTCCATTAATTGCACACAGTTCCATGTAATAGGATCTTCAGGATTAGAATTCTATGAACATGCAGAAATACAGGTGAAGGCCTTAGCTAATTTTTTGGAGATGTAGGCCAGATAGCTCTAAGAACATTAAAAAACAACTACTTCTGACCTTATTTTCTTATCTTACCTTATAATCTTTCAAAAATAGCTAGGACTCAAGCAGTGCTGAACATTCTAGAAATAATAGGGGATAATAGCAAAGTCCTTGGAAGTATTCAGTTTAACTCGTGACAAATTAATTTATTGCAGGAATGGAAGTCTGTCACTTTCTGGATAGTTGCTGGGTGACAACTTCCATCAGCGGTGTTACCTGAATCTGATGAAAGTTTCCAGCTCCTGGTTGAAGGATTATTGGGGCTGACTTTGTACTACACCTGGTACAAAATGCAGCAGCAGTTGAAAATAAAGACCAATTTGTCTCCTATAAATTATTATTATTGGATTATATTTTTATATTATTATTATTATCATCATCAATATTATTTTACTGTGGATGTTTTAGTTACTCTGTCTTTGTACTTTGTTGAATTTTAATTATTGGAAACCATCAGAAGTTGCCGAGATGTGGTGGTCTATAAATGTAATAAATAAAAATGCTCAGATTAAAAAAGAAATGGAGTCAAAGGAATGTTGATGGTGGCTAAAAAAAATTTGTTTTGCCAGCAAATGCTTTTTATGTTTTATGTTTTATCACAAGTACCAATTTTCATCATTCTGGTTGGATTGTCTCCAAACTGGTGCCCTTCTTCTTGGCTACATATTACAAGAGTTGAAGTCCAAGGGAAAAGTCCATGTAGCCCTTCAGAGAGCACCTAGACTGGTTCATCAGTGACAAAAATTAGCATTTTCTGCTTTGAGAAAAGGGCTAAAAAGCAATGCCAAGAAATCTCTGGAATCAACATCTGTCGAGCCAGGTTGAAATATATGTGAATCCTGGAATGGGAAACAGGTTGCTCGGAAGGGAGAAAGGACTTCCTGAAGATTTGGGTGCCAGAGCCCTCAGAGGAAAATGGCACGGTGCACACTTGTAGTCACTGAAAATGCATTTGTGCCCTTGAGGAACATGATGCATGGCTTTCGTTTCGGGAACCTGGCCTGTTCTTCAGGAGAGAATTGGAAGAGTGATTATGTGTAAGGTTGTAAATACTGGTGGATACTGTGGTATCCATGAGGCATCACGGTAGAGAGCTAAGACATTAAAAAAAAAATGATTTAATTATCTCTTATGAAATTGCTCTTGCCATCAGGAATGTTACATCCTTCACAAGAATGAGGTGCATTGGCATTTTTGTGCTCCTCCCTCCCTGCTCTTGTTTCATCTTCCTCCCTTTCTGGTTTTGTTTCTGCAAGCATAGAGAAGTATTTGCTTCATTCCAAAAAGTGACATTCTTCAGGGGAAGCAAACAGGTCAATTATCCTGATGCATAATGTTGGGGAGGAACTCACTGTACTGGGAGTTATTCTGAGTTAAGTCCTAAGGATTTCAGTGGAAGGGACTTTGTTTACTTGCCCATTATAGTAAATTGGATTTACTCCAGAGAATGTCCCTTCCTTCCATACATTTTTAAAATCTATTCTTTACTCCATTTCTTTATTTCACTTCTATACTACCTAATCTATTAGAGACTCACAGTGGTTTACAGTAGTCTGTAAGAAAACTCACTGAAGCAGAGGGGGAAGAAAGGGAGCATTTCAAAGCACATGGCAGGTGGATGTTACAATGCCAGGTTTATCTTGGGAAATGGCTGTTAGCCCTTCAAGTTGCCCACTGTAAGGGGAAAGAAGAAGATCAAGCAAGTCACAAAGACCCCACCATAATGAAATTGCTCCTCATTGAGGGCAGGCATTTTGTTAATTCACTTTCCAAGATTTGTAACCTAACTCCTTATCTCTTAACATTGAACCTGATTAATGACATTCAGCATGAATCTTACTTTCCTGATCAAGCTGTGCTGTTAGGGGCTTGATATTAACCAGCAATTAATCATTGACGATGAATCCGTTATCATTACCCATTACCATTACATCTATGGTAAAAATTAATTAATTAAAGAGACAGAGCAAACTTTCATCAGAAAAGAGGAGGAGGAGGAGAAGAGTAGAAAGGCTAATCATGATACACTCTTTAGAGAAGCTCCATCTTAAGTAACTCCTGGAACTTTGTAAAGTTTTAATTCTAAGAAGATGCTGTTCTACAAGATTAGGCTGTAATAGGCCTAGGTTCCCCTACTTCATGTAAAATGTCTCAGACTGCCACACTTACAGGAATTCTCTAGCATTTTTTCTTTACCCAGAATGCCTCCACAAACAGCAACTGGCAGTCAGAAGACACGATGTACATTCCTTAACCTCTCCACGCAGGGACAAACTCAGCCGCAATTTCAGCTGGGAAACAGTCGATATTTTAGACCAAGCCAAATCCAAAAATGCCAGGGAAATCCTGGAAGCTCAGCACGCAAACAAATCAGCCATCAAGAGACACATACAGATAGACCTCACGTACACACTATTTAAAAGACAGAACCAAAAGTGAGAGGAGGAAGCAACTAATCCAGAGCACGACTTTCCCAGCAGTCAACACCCAGATAAGCAGGAAGCAGGGCCAGATGAACAGAAACAATATCCTAACCCAGGAACCATCAAGGAGGAAACCACACCCCCACCAAGACTGGCAGACAAACGATTATATATAAGCAGCCAACAAATGTCCCTCTCCCACGGACTGATGTTGCTACCTAACCTGGTCATGAAACATCTACAGGAAAACGACCAAGCTCAGAAAAACCTCAAGAACCCAACAGTTTGACCCTGAGCTTCATATATTCTGTGCTATGAAATCCTTAGGTCTCTGTCTACACTCTCTTGCCCTCTTGAGATTGGTAAGTCATGAGGTACTGAAGAGTCACTCCCACTGGACGTGTCTCTTCCAACGCTTTGAATTCTATGCAGTGAAAGAATCAAAATTATGATTCTCCAATGTTGTGGCAAAACGTATAGTCTACTAGGACTTTGATATATACCTAAAACCTCGCATTCCTACAAGTTATTACTCCACAACTATGCATTCCAGGGCATTTTTCATGAATTAATTGCTTGATAATTCTTTAATGTTCTGTTTTTAAAACTGGTTATAATTCCCTATTAATCTGGGAGCAATTAAGGTATTGAAGAATACTGTGTTTATAAGTGTGAGAAACAGTTTATGAAACGAGAGCCAGTTTGGCCTAGCGGTTAAGGCACCAGGCTAGAAACCAGGAGATGGTGAGTTAGGCATGAAAGCCACTGAGTGACTTTGGGCCAGTCTCTCTCTCTCAGCCCAACTCACCTCACAGGGTTGCTGTTGTGGGGAAAATAGTAGGAGGAAGGAGCATTAGTTATGTTCACCGCCTTGAGTTATTTATAAAAAAATAAGAAATGGGGGATAAGAAATCTTAAAAAAAAAAAAAAAAGTAGCCTGTTGCTTATGTAGCATTTTATTGTAGTGATCGCACAGATAATAATGTCTTACTAAAGGCAGAGCAACTCATTTTACAGATATTTTGCTAACATATGCAATAAATGGAATTAGATGAGTCTGACTTGTTTTTCAGATAAAGCTTTTAATTCAGTGCTGATGTTTAAATAGAATCTTACTGTCTCAGCTCTTTCTATTTTTTTTAATGCATTTGATAACAAGTTTCTGGTCCAATGTATTCTAGGCAAACTCATTATTCCCATCCTTTTTTTCATCCTTTTCATAAGTGGGAGCCTGTTTAACTGATCTGTCCTTCCTCATTCAGCAGAACTATGCCTATGTAATTGCACTGTGTATTCCAGCCCTTTCCCAATCTGTTCTCTCTTGAGGGGTTGCCCAAGCTCCCAAATTCTCAGTCACCGTGCCATTCAGTCATCCAGTTGCAAAAGCTTGATTTATTTCAAATCCCCATTTCAATCTCATCATGTTCTGTCCAACAGACCTGCCCTAAATTATATGACTTCATTGGCATGATGTCATCCGGACCTTGCTAAGATGAACCCAATGAAACACCTGCATTCCACTTTGGTTGGATTTGTTCTTCCATTACGACTCGCTTTCAGTTATCAGGTGAAAGAGGCAAAATGAATTGGAGGGTAACTAAACCATTTTCATCTGTTTTTTGTTTGTTGGTGCTCCTTTGTAGAAAGCAAACGAAGTACATCCAGGAACAGTTGAAAGAGATACAGAATGGGAAAACCTACAGCCTTAATGCTTCCAGCATAATGGCAAAAACAGAGACCAGGGCCCAAGGCCAAGTCCAGCTGCAAAATGTAAGTAAATGTGCCAATGTTAGTCCTTATTACACTGGCTGAATGTTGGGTGCTGATGGCCTGGGCATTCTCGCTTCTTCCTCTCTTCCAAATGTGACCTAATTTGCACCTGAGGTCCTGGGTGTGAGAGAGGAGGGGGAATGTCACAATCTTCCAGGAGAGCCTGTCAAAGCAAGGCAGCACCTTCATGCTGTTTTGTCAAAGTTGGCCGAGACAAACGGTAGCATCTCAGTTGGCCTAGAACTTCACCGAAATCAGAAGACGTCACGTAGCAATCTGCAATGTGCAAAGAACTGGAGACATGAGCCCAAATTCTAGGGGAGGAACTGCTGCTGAAAAATGGCAGCTTAAGAGAAATGATGTTGATATGAAGGAACTGTTAAGAAAGGATTTGGAGAAGCGATTACCTAGGCCAGAAGTTGAAGCGAAACCAAGAAAGAAACTTAAAATAATCCTGGCTTGATTTTCTTAGTGTAAGGGGGAACAGAGAGAAACTTGGACAGGCTTTCCAGATGTTGATATAGGGTATTAGATATACCCTAATATAATAAGCAGCATTCCTGGAATTCCTCCTGGGTCTGTCTGTTCAGCTGACCTACCTCAGAGAACTGACAAATCCTTTGAAATCAAATCCAGGGACTAAATCAGCTTGAGACTTTGAACCAGTCATGGTTCTAACATTGTAGTTCTGTGTCAAAGGAAGTTTGGCATTACTGTCCATCTTCAGATCTGTTTCCTTTAGGAAATGCTGCCACTGACAAGTCATTCTGGCCATTATTTTCATGTACATGGAAGAAAAAATAAATAAATAAAGATTACGCTGCCCAGGACCAACCATTTCACATCTAAATTTTTGGCAGCATTATTTGGAGATACTTTGAGGTTTGTACAATGAGGACAAAAGGACTCTTATGCCCCTAAAATTGCCCGCTCTTGACTTAGAAATTTAAAGAATTACACTGATCATCTATTCCCCAAGTTCATATTTATATTCATATTTATATTCCTGTTCTTTGTCCCTTTGTTCTCCAGTATTCTTGCAGGCATTCTCCCCTCCCCCAAAATACCAAAATATCAAGAAAAGAAAAGTTACTGATGGAAATGAATAAAGATTCTGGATATCATCAAAGCTGGAGCAGTGTCTTTTTTCTTCTTTTTTTAAGAACAGGAAATGCTTTTGGTTATTGTTTGCACCTCTTACATGACATGGCTTCAGTAAACAGATCGACTGAGCCAGTGGCATTCACAGGAATTCTCTCCATCTCAGAGTTATGACCCATTTTTCTAGGGTTTTCTTCCTTCATTGAAAGACAAGATTAATGGGATCCATGCATTATTCATTGCAACTGATGATCTCATAATAGAGGATGGCTCATTATTTTAAGGATACTTTGCATAAAAGCACAGGCTAAACTCTAGCAGTGATTTAAGATACAAACAGCTTTGGCCTGATATTACCTTTTGTCCCAAACCACAGCAATGCATCCCAATGCTGCAGCTGTACAGCAGTGTTAACCTGGTTTTAATCTGATTGAGATTTCACCGGAAACAGCCAAGATCTTTTGGTTTTCCCCGGGACTGGAAAATGCTGCTGCTGTTAATGTCAACTGTTATTGATGTCATCAGCTTCACTATCATGTGAACATTGTAACTTCCCTTTGGAAAGTTTGGGAATTATTTATTTTATTTGCTGATGTTTTTCTTTATGTCCTCCGTTTTTATGTTGCTTCAGTCGACAATGTCTCTATCTTCTTTTAGGTTTTGTGTCTCATATCACTGAATTTATTTTGCAATTTTAGCTTGGACTTGTTTTGTACCCCAAATTGGGATACGCAGTGCAGAAATGTGCCGTTATCGTTGCTCCTTTGCTTCTTGTTCAGGAGAATGTGATATGTAAATGTAAAGAAATGACTATAATTCTTCTACTTCCCCTTGTAGCTAGTTATAATGCATTGCAAATTTGCTTTCCACTTCAGCCAGCTCATTTATGTTTTCAGCTGTTTGCATAACTGCGGTTAAAAAAATAATATGTTCCTTCTACTCTTTGTCACCTCTCTGTGCCAGCTACAAATTCAGTAGCTTGAATTACAAAAATAGTATGCAAAGCTAAAAATGCATTACAAAAACTGTGCAGAAGACAGTTTGCTTTCAATATAGTTGTACTAATGCTTCACGCACACTTTTGAGAAAAATGGTTTCTACTCTGAAATCTTCTTTGTAATGTTTAATGAATGGAAAGTCCCTGGAAGTCATTGAAAATTCAAATGGTAAGACTTATTCTTGACTTTATACAGAAATATGTATATATAAAATGATTGCAGCAGGATTTTTATAGGAAACCTGGAGGCGAGGGGATGCATATGAGGTCCATTTCAAAGGTTCCACTCAATTGGAAAACATATCTGTTTGGATTCAAACACTTGAACTGATTATTATTATTTTTTTAATGATCCAGTTGTGACATTTGAACTGATTTGGATATCTGAATCTAACCCAGTTTGATTCAAGCATTTTTTATTAGTAAAAGACCAGTATCTAACCATGAAGGCATCTGAATTTATTTGTATTCAATGGGATATATTTAATTTGATTCATCAAGTGAAATTGATCCCCTGAATCAGTTGGAATCAGTTTAAAACCATTTAGAATGTCTAGTAGTCAAAGAGACCTAATTAATACACCGATTAGGGATGTCTTCAGGATATGGTCAAACGAGTCAAGATGATGGTGCAAATGTGACATACTTGAAACCATAAGTAATAAATGAATAAAATCTCTGAGATATTAAATAGTCCAAGCCACCCATCAGATTAGAGAACACTGAGCTAAAAAGGTTTAAAACATCATAAAATGGAACCTTACAACTCAGGCATGGATTGAGAGTTAACTTAATTAGCCATTATTAAGATGTGGTTTCCAAAAATCTTGTAATGAAGAAAATAGAGACATTTTGTACAACTATATGCTGAAATTTGAAGTGTTCCAGATTTTGAAATAGAGAAGCTGTTTGGTCTGGGTTGACATTTACCTGAAGAGCATTTTGTCTATGCCTGAGTGGAAATAAAGATGAATACTTGAAGCTCAATGAGATTCTATATTTTCCGTACAGGACAGATTCTCACCAGGAGTGATTACATGTTTGAGAAGCTCTGCAATTATTTAACTGACAAATTACATAGGTGAAATTTGAGGTTGAAGAGAATGAAAATAGAGTTATATTCTATTTAAACTAAAATAGAATTTAGTTTATAGTCTAGTTTATAACAAAAATAAGAGTTACACTGGTAATTAAACTAGATTTGTACTGAAAGACTAGAGTGTGGATTTAAAGATCATATGCATTGAAAGAGTATATATACATATCTCATAACAAAAAAAAATGCAACGCTTTCTAAGAAAATATCTTCTGCTTCTTCTTAAGCTCTGTGAGAGATTGGCTTCTGGCCATTGTTTGCTCTATGACAACTAACTGTATTAGGAGGAAAATGTTAATGCTTTTATTTAGAGGAGAAACAATTTAAATTTCCATGTAATTTTGCACATCTGTTTAACCCTAGATGGTGTTAGCTAAAAGAATGCAAACATTGACACCTATGCAAAAGCCTAATTGCATATTCAGTCATGTTCTCCATAACTCATTCACCATTTCAATTTATTGCTGTTTATCTAGTGCTTATTGTGAAACAAAATGGCATCGCGTGTATTCAGTCATGTTGCACTAAAAATCTTTCTGGAAATATATTGAGTAGAATCTATATTTGGATTGTTACTGAGACGTGGATTATTTATTTTATTGCATTGCACCTTACATTCATCAACATTTGTGCATTGCAATGGTATACACAGGAAGGAAGGAATATTTTAACATGACTTCCTAGATAAATAAAAAATATTAGACAGGGACTTCATTGCTTAGGAATACAGCACATTTTTAAAGAGTATGGAAACAAAAAACAAAAATAGTGGAACATCCTCCAGATTTTTATTATCTTTATTTTACTTTTGGAACCTTGAAGAGCTCACTGCAAGAAACTATTCTGGGTTTGGGCCTTTCCCAGCCTGCAAACATCTATACTAGCTTCAAATGTCCTGCCTTTTTTGACAATGCCTGCCCTGCTTCTGTGGCCTCTGTTTTCAATGTAAGATAATGAGGGACAAAGCCCAACATGTTTAATAAATCTTGAGGACACTCAGATGCCTTTAGATGATGTCAGAGGAAGGAAGAAAATGCTACCTCGAAACTGGTAATATCTAAAGACCCTTGAAGACATAAGGGGAAAAAAAGTAGCTACTATGTGTTTCTGTCATGGTTATGTTCAATTAGAACTGGGAAAACATCCTTCAAGGGCTATTATTCCAACAATCTGGCTCAGCTGAGGATTTAATAGGCCAAAAATCCAGGTGATTCCTCAAACCTACCTACTGTACTGCTAGCTCTGAGTTTAAGAGCTCCTGTTCCTTTCTGAATGGTTTGCAAGCCCGGTTTCCTGCATGGCTGGGAAACTGAGGAACCTATGGAATAATTAGAAAATTATCCATCTGAACTTTCAGATGGTGGAAGGCCAGGAAAGCATAAAAGTGGGTGCTGAGAACTTCTGAGGGTAAATGAGGCTTTATCAGCAGTGCTCCTGCCAGGCCACTTTGGGCTCCTGATCCCAGGAACATCTCACAGCAGAACCTGAGATCCTTGAAGTCACAGTTCCCACAAAACCTTAGATATAGTCCTGGAGATGTTCCAAACATTTCCAGGAATAAATAGATAAGATGATGAAATGCATATTAGTTGAAGGTAATTAATTAAATTTAGCTTTTGTCCTGATCCTGCCACTTTTTTTGGAATACAACTCCAAACCTGCCACCTAAAGGACAGGTCAGTCCTCACCCTGGAAAAGTTGTTCATCTCTAACATAGGCAGACCAATGATCTACCTTAGTTTAAATAAACTACATTATATTCATCTAAGCCACCATAACTGGGGGGGGGGGGTTCATTCTGCACGACCTAAAGTTAATTAGAACACACATGTGCCATGAGATCTCATTGCACCTGTGCATTAGGATCCAAGCTTAGTGGAATCAAGATCCTCAGGAGGTGGGCTCTTTTTCACTGGATATATTCTAGTCATCAAGGAAGTGAGGACCACTTATCAGAAGTAAACTGGAAACTTTGCATTTAAGCTCCCTTCAAGCTGTACAGTACCATGATGGGCAGCTTTGAAAGGGCCACCCAGTTTAACCTTTTCCCTTGTATTCTTTGCATTTTCTTGGTTACAGTATTCAACAACAAGAAGACATCCAGAGCCAGTGATGGGAAAAATGATGGAATCTAGTTTTTCAGGAACTCAGTCCTTCCCTGAAGCTTTGTCTGCAGACAGAGGAGGACAGGCTGTAAAGCCGCATAGGTAAGAACATGGTTTTGAATTGGCATTTCTTTTGTAAGACAAATGCAGGGCATGTGGCTTGGGAAGCATTTGAGTTCAGGAGGCCTTTGAGGAAGCCTCACTCTATTTGTTAAGCAGAGGGCAGGGAGAAACGTCCATTATAGATGTAAAAGCCATTATTTCAGCTGTTGGATTTCCACTTTTTTCTTTTCCATAAAGGGCCTAGAGGAAGTATTAAGGTAAGGGTTCCATCAAGTCAGAGTCACAGACCACCGAATAGGATAATTGTATTCCATTACCATATAGGATTCCTTCCTCAGCCCGTCCTCATATCAGTTCATGAAGTTAATGACTCACCCACCCACAGGCAGGCTGCAAAGCTCACTCGTGCTGACAGGGAGTATTCAGTATGAAAAAGGGCTGTTCTGCATAGTGCCTGTAACCAGCAAAGGCTGGTTAAGGGTGGCTTTTCTCTTGTTTGTTAGGGACTGAAAGCAAAGGGGCATTATAAGGCGGGTGGGTCCACATGAACATTTGCTCAGCTGATGACTTAACAAAGGAATGCATCTTCTGTAGCTTTACAGCTTTAGCTGATAATAATTTTTATTTGTTTATGCATATATGTATACATTGCATATGTGTGTGTATATGTGTGTGTGTGTGTGTGATCCACACACATACAGTATCTGTCTGTCTGTCTGTCTATCTGTCTATCTATCTAAAAATGGAAAATATTAATTACACCAAGCACAGCCCTGTTAATTGTATGCTCTTTATCATTGCGAGATTTGTTTAACAATAAGGCAAAGATAAACTCTTTGGAGATCCTTTTTCCACCATAGTTTAGTTCACCTAGCTGGCTTCAGTGTGTTCAAATAAGTAACCCAGAATTAAAAGAAAGGCAGAAATCAGGCAGAATGCTGAGAGACTTGACTGAATTTGAAAATCGTATAATGTGTGACTTAGAGCACCTGCTGAATCTTATTTATCAGTTGCTGGTGAAATATGATTCAGAAAGTCAGAGACTGTATGATGAAAGGGATGCAGACTTTAGAATTAGTAATAGATATGCAAGAATGGGAATTCCAGTGGTAGAAGAAGATTTAATTTTATCCTGAATACTATACTTACAGAGAAAATTAGTGTAAGATGTTCCATTGTTGGCATCTTACCCTAGTCTTACTTGTAAACATGGATAATTCATTTTCTGAATATTGCTGGAAAGATAACAATCAGGCTGGATCATTCTTTCATATACAACATCAATGTTATAAAGCTCAACAATTTTTGAATCTTAAAAGGTGAATTCCCTTTTCAATCTGTGACATTTTTACTAAAAGGTACAAAACCATATATTCCGACAAAGTAGAGGGAATTAGCTTCGTATATGCTATGTGCTGCAAGGTTATTTTATGCGAAAGGATGTTTAACCCCTTCTGCAGAAGAATGACTGACTAAGTTGTGGAAGTATGCTTTGATGTGTAGAATAACTCTGTATCATACAGGTAGATCCAACACAGAATTTAATTCAAATTTGAGACGATTCCTAGACTACAATTCAGTCCATGTATTTGTACCACATCCAAAATCTGAGTTACTATCTGCATAATATGTATATTTCAATCTTACAGGACTTCTTAAATTAGAACAGACTTTTAGCAGTCTGGACAGAATTTATTATACTTCATAATTTCATTTTATGAATTATGCTGTGCTGACCATGATTCCCGATATTTATCCCTTGCTCAAGCAACTTCCAACCTTTTAAAACAATACAGTGTATTCATTATTCACAATCAATTAATGATTTTGTTGTTCAGTCATTAAGTCGTGTCTGACTCTTCGTGACCCCATGAACCATATTGCGCCAGGCCTTCCTGTCCTTCACTGTCTCCCTGAGTTTGCTCATCCTGGAATATTATAATTTCTATATTTGTAAATCCCCTGTTTATTCATTTCCTATGTTTTTACCCTGTTCTTTTCTTATTTTGTTCTTTTGTGCTTTCATATTTGTCTGTTCTCTCTCTCTCTCTCTCTCTCTCTCTCTCTCTCTCTCTCTCTCTATATATATATATATAGAGAGAGAGAGAGAGTGAGAGAGGGAGCACTATTGGTGGATAGATAATCATCTGGACTATCCAAAGCTTCAGTGGGGTTATTTGAATCCAAGGTAACTGGAACAAATCACCCCATCAAACAATGTTTTTACATACTGACTGCATGGATTTACAGTATACCATACAATTCTACCTTTTTACTCAAGGCAGCAGAGAACATTTAAAACAAAAATGAAAAGAGGTAGGTTTTTTAATAGAATCAGTAAAGTTGATCACTTAAAAGTTTGGTGAAAGAAACAAGTTTTTAGCATTTTTATAAATCATGGGAGAGCGGGGGGCAAACATCCGTCTCTTAGGAGAGTGTTCCACGTAGGAGAAGGCCCTGTTTTGCACAGCAGTTGGTTGAGTTTCTAGCAATGGAGGTGTTTTTGAAGGAATCTCTGCTGATGATTTAATTAACAGGGAAGTTCTGTAGTAGGAGAGGCCATCAGGTCTTAGGCTTTATTGGTCAATATTAACACATTAAATTGTGCCTGGCAGGCAACTGGGAGCTGGTGCAGATCTTTCTGCATTCATTCATTCATTCACTCATTCATTCATTCATTCATTCATTCATTCATTCATTCATTCATCTGCCAAGTTTAATCAGATGCTTTTCAAGTGCAGCCTCATGTGAAGCACATTGTAGTCACACTTCCTGATCTGCCTCTCTGGCCCTTGAGGGGTTTTCTGCACTTGGACCAGAACCACCTGTGTTGAAAAAATGCAGCCGAGCAGGACCAAGCAAAGCTAATGGTGCAGCATATTGATTTTTTGAGCAGTGAGGCAGATCATGTTGCCTCCATTGCTTGAAGTTAGCTAACAATGTGGATCACGTCTAATTATTGCTTGTTACTTCTTATTGCCTTGGCATTCTGCTTTTCTCCAAGAAATCAAAGCAAGGTACAAAAGTGTTTCTTCTACTTTCTTCCCATAATAACAGCCTTACATGATAGGATGGGTTTAGAGAGTGAATAACTGGCACGAAGTTGAGTTCCAAAGTTGAACTGGGACTTGAACCAGTCTCCTGAGCCCAAGTGTAACAGTTTAACCACTGCATGTGCTATGTCGTACTCATAATGAGCAATGAGTTAAAGAGATTCGAGTTAAAGAGATTTGAGCCTGAGCTGATTAATAGGCTTGCTTTTGTACTCCTTACAAATCAGATATTAAATATATCAAACTTTTGGGGGGAGGGGGATGGGAATAGGCTTTCAAATTTCAGTGATTAATAAACCTCAAGTAGATGTTCTTCATCATGTAACTCCTTATAAGTTACTTTATGCTATTAGATTATGAGTACTACATAGGTGATATATTAGTCATCTGTCTGATTTCATACTTTGGTCCTGCATCTTCACTAGAGTGACGTACAGCACTTTTGAAATACTTCATAATTTATTTTTGCTCCTGCAGTATTTTTGAGATTATGCACAAAAACTGGAAGTGCAAATGTTAGAATTATGACCATTTAGTGTTCCTGAACAGAATTCTGAATATCCATTAAGCAAAGCAGTTGTAGAAGTTCTGAGAAGTTTTTAAAAATTATAGGTTGCCATTGATCAGTGAAGGAATTATATGCCTTTATGAGGTACAGAAAGTAGATTTTGTTTCTCGTTATTAGTTTTTTATAAACATTATTATTACATTATTATTATTTATCAAATATTATATTAACTATTATATTTTTATAAACATTCACTATTAACTAATATATTATTAGTTTTTTTAAAAAAAACATAGTAAAAACTAATACAAACTAAACTAGAAGAAAAAAGAAAAAAGTTCAGAAGGTGCAGAAAAAAGGGACTTTTGGAGGAAGAAATGATGGACAGAAGATGGCTCCAAATGCGGAGCTGACAACTATGGCAGAATAAAGAACCAGTGAGTAGACCAGCTCTTCAATAATTCCTCTCTGGACAAGGAGAGGACTTACGATCACCCACAAGTGCTCCAGACAGCTGCTCCTCATGAGGAGACTGCATGATAGTGGTCCCTGGTGGGTTTCACGCTCTGGGAGACAAGGGAATAGCCATCTTGCTCAAACCATACTTTGTGCCTTTGAAAGGACACTAAGTTCATATACTTCCTTTTCTAATCACGTTTGGAAATTGCTTGTTAACTGCTTTTCAGCTATTAGGAATCTTTGGATCAACAAGTTTGACAGCACTGGGTGAGTTTCCTTCAATCCTTAACAAGATAAAGTTTTAACTAGAAGTTTAAGAACTTTAAAAAAAATGGGTGGGGGGGAGGAATAAACAGCAAAAGGATGATTAAAACTTTGATTCTAGCAAGTTACAAATAGACTCAGAGTCCAGTTAAATTTGAAATAAAATTTTAGAATTAATTATAAAGAATCCTTTCTGTGAGAAAATGCTTTTGTTTTTATTTTTTTAAATAAGATCTTAAAAAGTGGACACTAGAGGGAACTAGAGGGAACTAAAGATTACAATTCAAGGAGAAGGACTGATAAACTTGACTTACAATTACAGAATGAAGCAAAATATTCTAACATTGGACATATTGAAGGATATTATTGAACAGTGGACTCAGAAGTTAATGGTGTCAACAGAGACATCTGCCTCTATGGAAAGACTGTGTCTAAAAGATGTTATGGAAGAGGAACAAGTTTTACCTGACAAGATCAAGACTGAGTTGAAAGTGGATTTACAAAGGACAGGCTACAAGAATGACATGGAACAAGATGCTACACTGGACGTACAAAAGAAACTTTAAAAAGCTTTTACCTGACATAGACATTATAGAGTTTGAAGGCATGGAAGACAACATACAATGACTAGACGCTTTTTGTAAAACCCACTGCAGTAATAAAGATGTGTTGTACCCAAGGCAGCCAATTGAGGAGGTAGTTCACTGGCAAAGCTCAAAGATGAATGCCAATCATATTGTACCTCAAAGTTCAGCAGAAGAGAACAGTTTTCATTTCTATTTCATTCCTGTAGTTCTCAAAAAGCAAAGTATTCCTAATATGTGTGATAAGTAAAATAGGCAGCAGTAGAAAATTGTGGTACCACAAATATTGTGCAGGGAGAGTGTTAAAGGAATAGCAAGGGGTTACTAGAAATTTTGAGGATGCTATGGAAGCAGTAGGAATGAATGGTTGTTGCAATCAGAAGACTATACAAAATCTGTCCCATGTTCTACAGAACATGCCATCCTTTATTTAACTTTCCTGGAAATTTCACCCTATATTACTAAGTAACTAACAATACTGTTTATAAGAAACAACAGGTTGCATTCATGATAGGTCAGCGGGGATAAGAACTCAATTCTTCCTCATTCATATTCTGGAACTGGGAATATGCAAAGACCGACTGCCTCCAGAATCACCCTATGGAAGTTTGGGCTCTTTCCAAAGCTGGGGATCTCACACAAATCTTCTTCCATGGAATAAAAACATTTGTATAATAGTCTCCGTGCTCCCACGATCATATTGTATCCAATATTTTTGTATAATTTTACCCTGAGGTAATTACATAATGCATATTTTAGGCTTCTTTGTTCTTCTTTGAAAATGCAATAAATAAATTTGTTAAAACATTTCCCTGATGTTCTGCCAGAGATCACTACAGTTCAGCTTAGGCTAGCATTTGACAAATGAAAAGTATCCCAGGACCCATTTCATTGCTTAAAGTTGTGTTTTCCACTGTAATAATCAAGTTGTTTGCCAACAAAAGTGAGATTCTGGAGGTCCTAATGCCATCCCAAGGATCCTCCCAGTCAGATACAGACTTCTGTTTCCCATGAAGCAGCCTAGATAAATAATAGCCCACTTTTTCCAGGGTGCTGATCTTGCACAAACTTCTGTATCATGCTTTGGGATTGTGAGTTGCCTAATGTGATAAACTGCCTTTTGATTCTTTCTCACGTTGCCTAAATAACGTTCCCTTTTGTCAAGCTTTCCATGATTTAGTAAACAAAATATGTTTCTGAATGTGGTCATCCATAATGAGATAGATAAACAGTTAGTTTAGCAACCAATTGAGGGAAAATAGGAGATTAAGATGGTTCTCATTGTTATTATTTCAATGGGTTATTTTTTATTCCTTTCTGGACATAATGGCTTCCATTTGCAGCCAAGCTTGTTCAAATGAGGAGAGTGTGTCCCTAGTTAAGCGGAGTTGGTTAGCGGAGAGAAAATATCAATATGAAATCAATCCTATTGGGAAAAAAACATGGTTGACCATTTGATGATTGATCATAGTCTTGGTAAATGAACAGCTGGTTGTAAAGGATAAGAAGAGAGCCAGTTTGGTGTAGTGGTGAAAGGGACTGGATTAGAAGCCATGAGACGGTGAGTTCTAGTCCTGCCTTAGGTGCAAAGCCAGCTGAGTAACTTTGGGCCAGTCTCTCAGATGCCAAACCACTTCTGAAAATCTTGCCAAGAAAACTGCAGTCCAGTCACCAAGACTGACTCAAAGGTGCATGCGCACACACACACACACACACAAAGAATGGTGATGCAAAGTTGACCCGACTTCTAAAATAAATAGAATGCTATTCAAACTACTGCAGTTCATATATTACTGATGTAGTACAACTTCCTTCCAAGAGCTAAACTCTGATGATTTATGTCTCTTTCTTCCCAGGAGTTTCTCTTCATGCTGCAATGCAGGTCAGCAGCCTGGGATACTGCACAGAAATGCCTTTCGAAGGACTCCTCCTTTGCCACGGGGTAGATTCAATGGAATTACAGGACCAGCATACCAACAACTAGAAGAGTCCAAGATCTCAGATCAGGACAATGTACCTTGTCAAGGGTAGGTAGGAAAAACAAGAGAAACCAGCCGTTGCTATTGGGAATTAAACTGAGTGCATGAAGAAAGGTCTGTGAAAATGAAAGAATGAATACTTTTTAAAAGAAATTCACATGTACATCTGGCAGAAGTCTATTAAAATAGCATATATGGTGGGTTCAATCCAAACTTAGTTGCATTTATATTCAGTTTGCTGAAATTAGTGGGACTGGATCTGTGACATTGTATTAGTAAAACATTAAAGAGAAAACCCAAGAACTACTATTTAGTTACTAAAATTGTGGTTACGCAATTCCTTTATTAGGACCAAGCAAAATGCCAAAAGCTTTTCACCAGACAAGATGTTATGGAGAGAAAAAAAATTTAAAAGGAAGGTAGAAGAAAGTTCTAAAATTAGGGCAGATATTTCCATTATGAAATCTGTGATTCAAAATGAGGTTCAAAATGGAGATTCTAGGCTGAGTATATGAGTATATGGGTTGAATTAATCAAACGCATTAAGATCTTAGAAACCATTTACTCCAATTTATCTAGAAATTGAAAACACGGTTCTAGATAGAAAACGTTCTGGACAGTAGATCAGTAGTGAATCCCTATTTAATATTAATCTCTAGGTTGTTGATTTTCATGATGCACTAAGATGTCTTTGATCTTTTGTCATTGTTAGTCATAGTAATTGGAACCACTTGTCTCAGAAATTGAGTATGGCTGTCTAGATAAATCTATTTTCAATTAGGAAATTGTAGCATAATGCAAATGTCCAGGTTTCAGTAGCCACTGCCTGAAGAATGAAGCAAGTAATTGTCCTGTCTCCTATTCAAATATTGGCTTATCTTGAATACATAAATAGGATCAGATCTAGTTATCCATCAGATAAGTCTGGAAATACAGTTCAACTGAGAAGTTAAAAAAAAAAAAATGTCCTGGAACATGGCAATGGCAAGACACTTCTGGGCTGTTACCAAGAAAACCACATGGACATGTTGATGAAGTCAACAGAGTCCAGCTCTGTTCAAAGAACAGTTTACTTAGTATATGAATCACATATTTTTCTATGTTGCAAGGGATTGTTTCTTCCTTCTTGATATACGGGATAATAAATTGTTCTGCTTTATGCAGATGGCATATGCCTACTGCCACAAAATCCACCAGAGTTATGAAGAGTGTAAAAAAAAAAAAAAATGTTGCTTGGCAGAACATCTAAACATTAATTGTGTGTGTGTATAATCTTTATTTGCTACCATTGAGTCCTAAATGGCCACTCAGTTGAACAGACTGTTTTTTCCAGTCACTGGGTATTAACTTTTTTTGCCAGTCAAAATGAGAATGCTCAAGGGAAATAGATGAAGCTTAGGAATGCCCTCAGTTCTCCGGCAGACATTCATTTTCCTAGAGATAAGAGGAACGTTCAGCTAGATTGCTCTAAGTAATTCTATGCATAGTTCCTAGAATGTTTCCCCCAATGAGGTTTAGCCTGAAAAAGTATGAATAGAATTAGAATGAGGGAACTAGAGCCTGTCTGGAAGGCAACCCGCCCTGTCTTATCCTTGTAGGGCAAATGACATCAGGAGGGTGTAGAGGCATAGTTAAGGTCATAGGTGAAGGCTGGAGGTCTACCTCTCCCCCAAGTCCCCCTGGTTCTGCACACTCTGGCCTCACCACCTTACTTTGAGGCTTTAGGTAATTTCTGCTGCCATGACTTATCTTCCAGGGAGCATCTCACCTGGTCTCTTCCTCCTAACTGCTAATCTCACTATGTGAGAGATGAAGGGCTCTCATCACCTGGCAGTGAAAGGGTAAAAATGGCTAACCAAGGAGGAACTGATGCCTATATATGCTGGATTGTTTGATTATTAAATTGATTATCATTTTATTGTTATTTTATATATTGTTATTATCCCTAACTTCCTAGGGTCCATTATGATTGAGATGTTGCATAAATGACTACATAAGGAAAGGGGTGGGGAAAAAATAATTCCTATAATGAAATCTCTTGTCATTGTCCTTTGAGGTAGACCAGGTCAAGAAAAAGCACAGCAGAAATTCCAAGAATGTTCTTTACTGTAAGAGGGTGTAATAACAGAACCTTTAAAGCCTGTCAGGGTTTCTCTCTACTCCATCTTATACCAAACAAAATCAAGGTTGGGTTATTTTGAGTTTCCTTCTCATGCTTTCTTCTTCCTCAGGACTGAGTAACCTTTTCTCAAAAACCATCCTTAATGGTCTCATCATCCCATCCTTATTCCAAGGCCAGATCCACATTCTTTCACAGTAGCATAAAGCCACATGAGAAGAAATTTTAGCTCTTCCCCCTTTTGGGAGATAAACCAATCTCATGAAAAGTAAACAAAATCAAAAGTTTATTTTTTATAAAAAGAGTAAACAGAAAATACCATTTTTAACTTTGAATACCCCAAATGCAAAGCTTTAGTGCTGAGGGGGGGAGGGAAGGCAGGCAGGCAGGCAGGCAGGAAGATAAGTTTAACCAACAAGATGGTGCTTTACAAACAGGATGATGAATTAGAGTAAGAGAATACATTCTCTATCTATACCTGTACCAAAGAAAGTTGGAAGCTACTCTTTTTTTCTTATGCTCCCTCTTCTTCCTTCCCCCCCCT